CTACTCCTTTCCTATTGTGCCATTTGGTAATTATTCACATCCACAGCAGTGATTTGGTGGTATATGAACCAACATGTAAAAGAAGTGGCAGGCAGGCCTGCTTTTTGTCATGCCAGACTCCTGCACGGCTAGCTTTACACCCGAAATAACAACACATAAATTGCATTCATTTAAACACTTCCTGGCCCATTAGCTCTAGCCTCTTACTGGCTAACTCTCACATCTTGATTAACCCATTTCCATTAATATGTATCGCCACTTGACTGTGGCTTACCAGCATGAGTCTAACCACCATGCGTCCTGGGTAGGAGAAGCATGGTATTTGCCTGACTCTGCTTTCTTTCTCCCAGCCTTCTGTTCTGTCTTCCCCACCTACCTATGTTCTGACCTATCAGGCCAAGCAGTTTTACTAATTAACCAATGAAAGCAACAGATAGATAGAAGACCCTCCTACATCACCAACAGGAAACACGGATCCCTTATTCCACCTTCTTCCCCTGCCAGAAGTAGCTCCACATACTAAAAACAAATAAATTGCCGCAGGTGGACTGTCAATTTTGTCTATGTGGTCCAAGAAGACCTAGAGTTGCTGCAGCTTCAGTGACTGTCAACTCAGAAGACAGATGTGTGACCACAGTACCATCATCAAGTCAACCTTTAATAATGCTGTAATTTTTTTTACAAAAAGGAATACAAGACATGGAATACATATTTTGGATCTGTGGCTACTACACGCTCTCAACTATATAACTTGCAAGAATAAAGCATGGATAATGTCTAACAGTGGATAAGCATCACATCTGAAGTCCTGAGTGTGTTCAGACTCCCCTAAATCTGACAGTCTCTGATCCCCTTTCTATTTCTGTCCTATCCCTATAGATTGTGTAGAAGTTAGAGGGCAGAAGTAGCCTGCTTTGCCACACATTCTTTGTGTATGTTGAAGAGTTGACTGGACAATGAATTTAATGTGTCAACGTACTTAAATTGTATGCAATGTTCAACTTCCAATTCATTTTTATTTATTTCATTTAATTTTTTGAACTAAAATGGACTCTTTGGAGTAGCTTTCAATTCATGAAACTATTGCCCAGATAAAGAGATTTCCCAACAACCCTCAACAATCACAGCCTCCCCAGCTACCAATATACCACACCAGAAAGGTTCATTTCTTGCAGCTGATAAGACTACCATTACCACCCTAAGTCCACCGTTTACCCTGAGGTTCACACTCGATGTTCATCAAACGGGTTGAAGCAAAGGTATAATGATAGGCATACATCACTACAGTACCTTAGAAAGTATTTCTGCTGCTCTGTGTTCTGTCTATTCATCACCACACCCACTACTGATCTTTCTTTTACTGTCTCCACAGCTTTGCCTTTTTCAGAATGCCATATATTTGGAATCACACAGCATATAGTCTTTTCATTTTAGCTTTTCTCAGTTAATAATATTCATCAAAATCACTTTTAAAGAAATGATTTTCAGTTAAATATGTGATATTTTTCATGTAACAGCTGCCATGTTTTATTATGGAAAATTTTTGTGCCAATATTACAGATATTAAGTCACAAAAACATTTCCCAGAAACCTTTTAAAATAAAGATTTGATTTTATATGAGTTAATGATTTCTCTTTAGTAAAATATAATATTTGTATTGCCAGAATAACACATTCATTCATTTTTCTATAACTGCTCTCTGAATGTGAACAAATGGATTCATTTAATCTTAAAATTTTCAGTCCACAGACCATTTCAGCAGACATGATTCAATTAACTATTAAAAAGCAAAAATAAAACAAAAAGAAAACTCCTCTCCTAGATAGCATAATTAAAGTCCGCCATGCTCCATTTCTTGATTACCCCATTTCCTGATATGAAAAGGAAAGGCTTGTTGGATGGGAATGGCAAAAGAAGCTTGCACTATCAGGAATTAGCAGGCTTCACCCATTTTTCAGCAGAGCCCCCATCTCAAGTGAATGTCTACATTTCATTGCTTCTTTAGCTCAAATGAATCTTTAGCAAATAAGGAATTCCCATTAATCATCGCTTTCTGGCTCCCGATTCTGACTGAGAGCTTTACCCAGACACCTAAAATTTACAGCCCGTCCAAAATATTATCGTATTTTGACAGCCGTGTCCTCTACTGTTTTGTACATGATTAAGATTTGTTTTTGTATCTAACCGTAACCACAATGTTTGAAAAGCACACCAGGATTAACAATCTTGTTTTGTACATAAGGAAATCTGAATCTTGGTCCCAGTTCTTCTATGATTGGTCTCAGCCGCAGGTTCTAAAGAAGTCATTAAACGTTTCTGGGCCACAATTTCTCCACTTATATAAAGTAAATCCCTGGCAACACTAGCAACTTCAGTTTTATAAAAGCAACACTGGCTGGGAGCCTTGTGATTTCATTTATGACAAAGAGGATCCCCACCAAGAAAAAAAAAATCACTGCAATTTTTCTTTATAACCCAAATTACCTTGTGACACCTCCTTTAACTCCACCTCAAAAGTACTGTTCACTGTAGAAAAATAAGCAACACACAGGAAAACTTCTCATAATCTCATTCCTTGGCATTGCATGGTTATTAACATTTTACCACTTCTTAGTTAATCTATCAAAGTCTCTATACAAGTGGTATTCAATGACAGCCTACCTGGAACTAGCATCTCTAGATCCAATTTAACAGCTACCTTTGAAGCCCATGACCTTCCTATCTTCCCCTCCCATACACATACAGCACACATTTGACAACCAGTAACTATTTCTGCCTACTGTCATTCACTGATTATCAACTATGGGCAAAGCACAATTCAAAGAAAGCTATACACTGCTTCTTTTAATCTTCACAGAGACTAAATGCACATTAAAAGAGGTAATAACTTGACCTGAATATGTGTGTGATGGTAGTGGTGGTGGTAGTGTATGTGTGTGTGTGAAATTTTTCTACTGTCATGACAAAACACTATGACCAAGGCAATGAACAAAAGAAAATGTTTCATTTGGGACTCATGGTTGCAGAGGGTTAGAGTCTAAACCCATCATGGTAGACATGGCAGCAGGCAAGCAGACATGGCAGTAGCTGAGAATGTACATCTCAATCCATAATCATGAGGGAGGGAGGAAGGGAGGGAGGGAGGGAGGGACGGACGGACAGACAGACAGACAGAGAACACTATCTGAGAATGACCTAAATGTTTGAAACCCCAAATCCCCTCCCCAGTGACACACTTCCTCCAAAAAGGCCATACCCTCTAATCCTTCCCCAACAGTCCCACCAACTGGGGCCTACGAATTCAAATCTATGAACTCATGGGGGTCATTCTCATTCACGTCGCCACAGCATGCATCTCCTTATTTTAACAAATGCATGTGCAAACAATATAGAACTTAACTTCCCTGCAGTGATTCTAAACACAGTTTAAAGAGGGACAGGGCATTTATTCCTCTAACTCAGGGAAGAAGCAGCTAACAGTGAATGATAATATAGGTATATTTCTAAGAGAAAGACACTGAAGAAGTTCATTGTAGCTAATGTCTAGTAGTTCAGAGAATGAAGAATCCAGAAAGCCAAGTAAGAAAAAAAATTATATTATTTTATGGTTATGTCTTGAAAACTTGTGATTGCTTGTTTGACTGAGTTTCATATTATTTTTTCCTGATATTTCATTGTATCCCTACATTTAGGCAAAGCATATAAAATGTTTTTATTAGTTCATTCAGAATTTTGTATAATATGCTTTGATTATATTCACCCTCTCCCCGCTAACTCACCCCATATCCACACACCCTTTCCTACACCTGTAACTTGGGTATCTAACTGTCAGTGCTTATAAGCCCTTTCCATGTATAGAACAAAGAAATCCAAATTTATTAATGATATTTGACTTTTAAATTTATAATACAAATATATAAGAAAAATAACTTACATCTCATTTCTCAGTAAAAATCCTAATATATGGGCTGCCCTTTTCTGAAGGGAAAGGAGGAAGAGAGGATCTTGGGGAGAGTGGTATGGAGGAGGGACTGGGAGGAGAGGAGGGAGGGAAAACTGCAGTTGGGATGTAATATATGAGCGAAGAATAAATAAAAAGAAAACAAAAGAGAGGAGAGACTAGTCCCAGATCTATAATATCTTGAAAAAGGTTACTTGGTGCTCCTGACACAAAGAAATTGTGTACAGTAAGTGGTATTTATCATAGAAATATGTCAGGCTGAAATATAGCTGTGTACCTGAAAAAAAAAACTAATTTCTATCAACATTAATGTATGCATACATTTTATTTATTTTTCTATAGCTACAAAATGGTAGTGATATTTGTTCTATATATAATTCTGACACTGACGATAAAACTATTAAGAAAGTTTACTCAGTTCTGCATTTCTTTTCACCTAATAAGAACGCGTTACTAAGAACACTATGCTCTGGGCCGCTGGAGGTGGCTCAGTTGGTTAGGTGCTTGCTGCTAATCCATGAACCCAAGGCTCAGAAACGCTATCAGAAAATAAGACAGAGAGGCATAGAGGGAGATACTCCATGCTTACTTGCCCAGTCTCCACAAGCATGCACACACAAGCCTCAAACACACAAGGCATACATATGTACACCCACCCACACAACACACTCAAAAAGGAATGTTGTGTTCAATGGTTATCCGCACCGAGTTAGGATGCTATAACCTGCACTGATTTTGAGGATCTTCAGTATTTGTCTTTCTTCCCATTTTGGGGTTCAATTCTGAGTAAAGGAAACATTTGTTTGACTGCGCTCAAAGCTGTATACAGAAAACAAATTTAAAAGTTCTGCTTCTGTTCATACTGTCAATACACTGCCTCTATTCATTCCCTGTTTTTATTAATTTCTTCTTAGTGCTTCAGAGCTCATATGGGCTTCCCTTCAGCAGAGCTCTTATGTCAGTGTGGTCATGGAGAACAAAATGTGTGTTGTCCAATATTTCCATACCTACAACACGATATAGAAAGCAGACACCCACCTGAATTCTGGCTGATCCACTGCAGAGACTGCATGTGAGCATTCAGAATTCTGTAAATCTGTTGAAGCTGAAAATACACCCAAGATTTTTAGATCATGATTATTCTAATGGAGTAAACAAAAAGAAAGAAACATAGGAAATTGAAATTAAGAAGCAACATTTAATTTTCTTCTAGTAAATGGAGCACTGACAATGAACTACACATTAATGGTGCCACTTCATACTTATAACACTAATTACTTTGATGCATTAGTTCAATCTATTCATTTTGTAATTATCAGGGATTGGATTCCTACAAACTAATAAAAAAAACCTGATGAGCACAACATAAAAATAAAGGACATTAAAAGATATTTCAAAAGAAAGCAAACGAATCAATCCACATACAATTAAGAATATCAAATTTGTCAATCAAATCAGCAATTGCGTGTTTTGGTTTGGTTTTTGTTTTTTTTTTTTTTTTTTTTTTTTTTTTCAGCAGTGGCTGTTTTTAATTCTTGCAGATAAGGATATTGGTGAAATGATACATTATTATCAGAAATACAAGTTGATGAAATCAATGTGTTTTGGTTTCATTTCTGTTGCTATGATAAGCTACCCCAATAAGATAACTTAGCAAGGAAAGGGGTTTTTAGCTATACTTTCAGGTCATGGTCCATTATGTCTGGAAGTTAAGGTAGCTCACTTGAAACAGTTGGTGATCATATCCACAGTCAAGATCAGAGAGAAATGGATGCTTTTAGCTCTGCTGACTCACACTGACAGTTTCTCCACTCTTAGTTCAGGACCCTCTGCTTAAGGAATGGTGCCACCCACAATGGATCAGTGTTCATCACTCACATTTATTAAGATGTCCCCTGTAGATATGTCCACAACCCAACCCAGTGAGTGTCTCTTCCTAAGATAATCTAGTTTGTATCAACTTGACAGAGTTAACCGTCACACTATGTTTTATTTTTTTTTTTATTTTTTTTTTTTAAATTTAAATTTCTTTTTTTTTTTTTTAAATTTATTTATTTATTAAGGTTTTTGAAGCAGAGGCTTGTTAAGCACTACAGACCTGCGTGGAACTTAACCATGTAGCCAAGGCCCTTTGCTCTGCGTCCTGAGTGCTGGGCCTACAGGAGCCTACCAACGTGTAGTGCTCCTCAAATCCGTTGTTTTAAAAATAGTAGCACTCAACAGTCGAGTACAGGTTGATTGCTCCCCACCCGAAATGCTTGGAAAAGAATTATTTCAGGTTTTTCAATTTTTTGGAAGATTACATTATATATAATGAAATATCCTGGAGATGGAAACAAGCCTAAACATGGAATTTATATGTCATGCCTAGCTCGTACATATAGCCTGAAGGTGATGGTATATAATATTTGCATTATAACTGCAGTTGTGTGCGTGTGTTGGTTTGTTTGTTTTCTTGTTCATTTGTTTCTCATATGTTATACAAGACTCTAACCACTGAACTGTATCCCTAGCCCAGCTATGTCAGTGCTTTTGGCTGTGACCCCTTCCATGGGTGTGGACTTTCCCGCTTATACATCATTTCATCACTGAAAGAGTTTTAGATTTGGGAGTATTTAAGATTTCAATATTTCAGATCCAGAACACTCAATTTGCAAGTAGGAAAAATCAATACATTAATATACACTCGACGGTAATATAAATTGGCCCAAATTTCCAAATGTAAATTTTTATAGCATGTGTCAATAGTTTTAAAATATTTATACCTTGTTACTCAGTATATTCTACTCTATATGAGCCTACTCAAATCTAAATATAACTGGTCATTACAAGGCTATATTAGATTGCCCAAAATTTGAAATCAATATCTCAACTAATAAAGATATTAAAAATATTACAAAATTCACCTCTGGTGAAATATCTTGGCAACATTAAAATTCACATTGTCAAAGAGTGACTAAAATTTCAAGAGAGAACCATGAAAACAGGAAGTAAAAATCACTATACGTATATTTATGATTTTATTTAATCAGAACCTTTTTCTAGCGTTGTAAAAAATTGTAGAAGTACATCAACATAGTAAGAAGGGATTGGTAATACTGATGCTTTAATTTCCTTTATGAACTTTATTAAAACTACAGCTGGGTAACAGAACATAATGTTTAATAAAAAATTTAAGTATCATGTGGTCTCTCCTATTTATCCTGACACACATATACAAAAGTAATAGAAGTCATTGAATCCCAGCGCTATGAATGCTGGAACACACAGCTTTTACTTTTGTGGCATGATATATAATCCATTGTAGCAGGGCTTTGAGATGATATTTACATTATCCACAGGGACATTATCATTTAGCAGGTGTGTTTTTTCCTACTTTTTGTCCCATGGTTTATGCTATCTGAAAAGAGGGATAATCACTTGCTTCCTTTGTCCTGCTATCACACAGTAATTGCCTTTAACTCAGTCATCTTAAATATCTCAATTATCCCTACAATGAAAAAATGAAAACATAAGACTACTTGCTATTCACTAGTTAAAATAATTATGGGCAAATTGGGGAAATTATAAAGATAGGATTTTACTAACTCTGCTAAATCCAGTTCTGCGCCATGTCTAAATCTGTTTGTGTTTACCTATGCATCAGAAATCTAAACAACAAAACAATTCTGAATCTTGAAATTGCATTTCGAATGTAACAGAAATGTACTTTGTTGACTCATGATCATCTTTGTGAACACAGGGCAGATGGTAGTATTGGTAATTCCAGACTAATTTATATGTGTCATTGTTCCATTTTAGATTGATGCTAAGTAGAGAATAGCATTGTTTTATGGCTGAAAGGAACTTATAAATCATTTATTCTACCCTTGATATTTTTCAAAAGAAGGAGCCAAGACCCCAAGAGATTAGGTGACAAACAAAATTCTAATAGTTTCTCAACTGTAATTGGCTGTTTTTTCGTGATTAAAAAAATTCAGTAATAATATGTGTGTATAGAAAGGACAGTCGGCGTCTAATTGGACAAAGAAATTGCTAGAGAATAATCACCACTTATGTATAAGTTATTCATTCTCATCTACCAAGAGCCCAGCCTCACTGCTACTTATAATTAATGATAGATGGCACAATAGAAGCTCCTACAATGGGAGATTCCTCTCAGCACTAGTGCCATTTATCGGGAGTGGGGAAAAGACGACTTCATCTGTGCTGCCCAGACAAAAGGAAAAGGTAGAGGAAATAAGCTCTTTATAATTAGAGTATAGGAAAAATGTAAAAAACCATGTTTCTTTCTTACTGACAAATTAATTCACAGAATCTCGATTCTAACAGGATCCTAAGCCCTACATTCCTATAATATAATGTATTTGCTTTATGAACTAAGTAGTATTCCGCTAGGCAGTGAGAAACATAATGACAATATTTAAAAAAAATTCTACAAGAAAATGTTATGTCTTAAAAGTTACGTCACTACATTCTAAAGATATAAATATGTCTAATAGACCTAGGCATATCTGCTAATATTTATATGAGTAAATCAATTAGATGTTATGAAAAATTAACTAGCGAGTAAGTGAATAAAAAAGTACCAGGATACGTTTAATTATGTAGAGATTAAGTCCTGAACACATTGGAAGAGTCATTTATATTACCCTCCTGGGAATGACCACAAAAATTTACATCTGTAAATATTTACTAAATATTTACTGTCCCACTAATCATGCCTAAGAGTGTCATATCTCTAGAGGGCAGATATGAAGCACTCTGAAGGACAGGAGAATGTGACAAATTAAAAAAACAAAACAAAACGGATTGAGGGCCAATTTCATGTGAAATCTTGGCTTTCTAAAAAGAACAGGGAACATACTGTTTCGGCAGTGTCAGCAGGACTTCCAAGGGAATTCAGGTGAACAATAATGTCCTTGAGATCTTGAGACATTCTTTTGAGCTCAGCATCTATATTTTCTGCTAATCTGTAGCTACACAGGCAATTGAAAGAAAGAGATTAACAAGAAACATTTTCTCACCTCTGCCGTAACTGACATATAGAGACGTAATTGCCAACTAGATTTGTTTCAATTCCCTTATAATCACATTGGTTCTCAATTATGACTGAGGACATTGTCTCTTGGATTCAATGTTTGCAAATGTATTGCTATCACAACCTAAGACTACAAAGGCAAAGGCTTTCGTCTCTGATGAATGCTGCAGCAAAGAAACCCTTTGGGGAAAACAAAATGTATGCATAGGACATTTACCTAGATAGAAGGCTAATGTTTAGCAATATTCAATAAATGTTGAGATTGCTTCAATTATAGAGACTATACAAAATTTCATAGTAAAACTTTATATGATATACTATAGCAAGAAACAAAGAATAATATGAGAAACGAGCTTTACAACAATAAAAAGTAGATAAATCTGAATTTACTACAAACTGATTAGTGATCTAATTTCCACTCAAAAATGTTTGTGAGACAGAGTGGGGAGGGGGGAGGGATGGAGAAAGATTGATTGATTGACGTAGTCCAGTATATTGATATGTTTACAAGAATTAAAAGTGGCCAGAAGATTTTTCAAACTCACTATCTATAAAATTAAAAGGCTCAGTCAGATGTCTTGGTAACCATCTATTGCTTTCTGTGCCAAATCACCTATATGTAATTGGTTGCCTAAACTGTTGAAAATTCTGGTGAAAGTTTTATTGCAATATAAATCTGGCTACAAAAGAGAAATTGGAAAGGAATTAATGTTTTTAAGCCTCCCAATCCACAGTTAGTATATTCTAAAAATGTTAAGTACCTTACAAACAAAACAAAAAAGATAGAAGAAATTGAGCATGGTGGCACATTCCTGTAATGACAGCACTTGCAAAGTAGAGATAAGAGGATCAAACATTTCAGGCCAGCCTTAGCCATTATAGGGTTTGTGCTAGACAAGACCTTTTCCAAAAAAGTGATAAATATATAGAATATGTCAGATATGGTGTTGCACACCTATAATCCCAGCACTCAAGAGGCAGAGGCAGGAGGATCTCTATGAGTTCAAGGAACGATTGGTCAAAACAGGGAGTCCCTGGCCAGCTTCTTCTATATTAGGGAGTTCTGAGCCAGTCAATGATACATAGTAAGACCCTGTCTCAAACAACCCCCCTCTCTGTATATATATACGTATTTGTGTGTTTTTATTATCTGTGAAATAGTCTGTGAAATATATATATATATATATATATATATATATATATATATATGCAATGCCAAAGAATAGAGCAAAGAAAGAAGAGAAAGATAAAAAGGGAAAGAGGAGGAAAACAAAGGCAGAAATATAAAAGTAGAAATAAAATGGAGGTCAGTGCAGATTAGCTGTACTAACCCACATTTAAAATCCTACAAAATGTTAAATTTCAAGCCTTAAAAAATAAGTTCAGTGGCAAAGGATTTGCAAAAGCTCAGCTGGGCAGTGTGATGTGTGCCTGCAATTCCTTCTACTCAGAATGCTAAGGTGACAGAAACACTTTAACTCAGGAGTTTGACAGAAGCCTGGGCAAAGCCGGTAAGAACCTGTCTTAAAAAATGAAGAAAACAAAACCCAAAACATAAAAGCTCCATCTCAATTCACTAACAAGCCACTGACAAAAATGAGTCCAAGTTAGTCTCAATTTAGATTATGTAGTATGTTCCCACAACGTCTCTTAATGCTTTATAAAGTGGCCTGATTATCAAATCTCGGTTCTGGAGAGAGTTACCATGGGAACACTGACAGTGAACAGACACAAGGTAAAGCCTGAACAGTACACAAATAAAGCATACCTAGCCTGAAACGCTGACAAAATCATTCCAATTTTGAAAACGATAGTTTATCCTCAAATGAACAGTCTGTCTTCAAAATATCAAATAATGTATGACAAAAACAACTGTATAGATATTAGCTTTGTATATGTCAAAATTAGGAGACCAGGAATATTCCACAATACTATGACATCATACATAAGCTTTGTATTTCTAATTTAAGAACACACTTGACAAATATAAAAGCTTCCCAGTAGACAAACATGAGCTTGAGATAAATAAGAGTGAACAAAATGCTCTAAAACAAAGCTGCCGGAATGACTCCTTCATTTCTAAGCCTCTGCAAAAGATAAACACGGAGCAGTCAAACAACCTGGTAAATAATACCAACTAGAAGAACCTTGCCCTTTTCTACGGATTTCTATTCCCTGCTTTACGGTTCTGTTTCTCCCTCTTTCTGCCCAATTCTTCAGTCTCCATTCAGTCACTTACATTCTCTCATACTCTTTATCCACACAGAGCAGATTAAAAGGCCCGTTCTGCCCCTTCACAAACTCCTCTAAGGGGGTCAACAGTTGTTCCAGCTCCTTCTGCTGGGACAGGATAAAATCCAATTCCCGTTCCAACCTGAACAAAACAAGTCAACAGAAGGGCTGCTGAAAGCAATTTTGGGTAACAAATTAAATGTCAATAAACAGCAGGGGGAAAACAACAGAACAAAAAATTCTTGACTCTTTCAAGCAAAGAAGTCGAAGGTTCTACCTGCTCTGATCCAGCTTCACTCTTTCCACTTCACGATGCAAAAGAGTAATCTTTAAAGGAAAATGGGAACAAAACCGTGTCAATATTCAAACTGTCTCAATAATTTTAGAGCAATACACATTTTCTCGAACACACGTCAAATAGCAAACACTTCCTAATTCAAGGAGCATATTAGCTTAGGAAAATGTTTCCAAGTTACTCATCAATAGTGCAACAGAAAACTAATCACAAAACCAAAGTCTATTCTCGTGTGCTTTTCTGGGAATACTTGTACAATACAGGAAGGTTAATGAGAATATCTCCCTACCTCATCAACACTCTCAAGCAAGGTCTGGTTCCAAACATTGAGGTGGTTGGCCTGGTGAAGAAAGTGCTTTTCTTGCTCCTGCAGTTCACGGCTCCACTTGTCCATCATACTTTCCAGGTGACCATAGGTCATCACAGGAGTTGCAATTGAGCTAAAATATAAAAAGATATACCATGATCATATCTTTTAAAGTGAAATCATATTTTAAAACAAATAGTACAGGAAGACTAGGGGGAAAGGACTGTGAGGGAGACTCTCACATCTTGCTTTCCCACAAAAGAATACCAGGTAAAGGTGATTTTAAAACAGCCAAATAAGAGCTGGGTGATGGCGGTGCACACCTTTAATCCTGGCTCTCAGGAGGCAGAGGCAGGTGGATCTCTGTGAGTTCGAGGTCAGCCTGATCTAGAGAGTGAGATCCAGAACAAGATTCAAAGTTACAGAGAAACTCTGTCTCGAAAAAGCAAAAAAAAGTTCCATTTAATGCTCTGAATATTATCCTAAGGGAATAGAGCAAATACTTCTTAAGATGTCTACTAAATCACAGTCTGCTTCCATACTTTCTGTTATATCAGAACAGCATGATGTATACTCCCGAAACCATGTTAGTCCAAGCATGCTTCTGAGCACTATTCACAAAATATCAGCATCCCTTGCCCACAAGGACCAGAGAGGAACTCCAACTCCCCTGAAAATTGTAAATAAAAAGCTGAGCATCCCTTGATCTTGGATTCTGTGACCAGGGCAGCTAACGCACACTGACTCTAGCAGAAGTAGTATCAGCGCAGCTCAATGGGAGGAAGCAGGTAATACTCCTGGCATAGTAGGCAGCATTCGAATTTCCTACTGGGCTCCTACTAATAGTGACGTGTACGGCAGGCTGAATGAAGCCAAATCCTTACTCAAGAGCAACAAGACTTAATGAGATTGAGTAAGGCAGGATTAATCTTTAGACTTCAGCTTTTGCTCTGATATCACACAAACCCAGTAGAGAATCTAACCTCCAAAGCCTGAATGAATGCTCTAAGACAAGTTTGAACTCCCATTCCTCCATTCTGGGAGTCAACGAGACTTGGTGGGGAGTTTAACCTCCACCTGAATGGGCAAAACAAAAAATGAAGGAGGCCAATCAAAAGACTATGTCCTTTCTTCCATAAGCCTTGTGTCAGCGAGGCCCAGCAGAGGGCCAAGCTTCCATGTCAAGAGAACATCCATGTAGCATCAATTCTACCATACAAGGCAGAATGAGGTAGAGTAGTTGGCATCCTGTGTCCTCTCTGTCAGCAAGGTCCAAGCAGCTGAAATTTTGCCTACCCCTGGATCAGCTAAAGCACTGAGTTAGTTCATCACCCGCCTCTTCATCTGGGGCTTCAGGGCCCACCTGCAAGCTGGGCTCACATTCCTACAAGAGGAAGGGAAGTGGTGGGGTACAGTGTCCCACTTGCACAGGAAATGAGCCAGCAGAACTAAGAACATTGAACTTCCATGCCACCCAGGTGCAGTGAGGCAGTATGACTCAGTGCTCCGTTTTTGCTGGGGTGACGGGGGCAAGGCCCAGTGGGAAGCAAAACATAAAAGCACACCCACCCTTCGCACTAGGTCTCAACAAAGGGACTATCTAGCGAAAAGACAGCAGATATAAATAGGACCCAAACACTCCTAACATAATAGGCAAATGGCCATGACACAATAAAAGCCATCCGTATCAGGCACCGGGAAAATCACTCGAAAGAGAAAAAGCTGGCATCACAGATGACAACATTAAAAGGTATCAGACGCTGGGAACTGTCTGAAAGGAATTTTAAAACAGTCACTAAAAATGTCTGAAGAGGGCAATTTTTAATCCTCTTGAAATAAATAAAATCAGAAAAGAAATGTGGATTATAGAGAAAGTGGAAAATATACAACTGAAAAATATAATAACTAGAATAAGCCTACTTGAAGGGTTTCACACTAGAGCGGCGCTTACAGAAAACAATCAGTGAACTTAATGGTAGATAATTAAAATTTACAGACCAGCAAAGAGAAAACAGAGACAAACGAAAAATGTCTCAAGGACATAAGAGGACAATAATAACTGAGATAAAAATGTATGCAAGAGAATTTCCAGAAAAAGAGAATGGGCCTGATAAAAATTATTGGAAAGAAAAGGTTTCAAACTTTGAGAATTTGGCAAAAGATATAAATGTAAAGATTCAAGAAGTTAAACAAGCAGAAGTAGAATAACTCACGAAAAGCCACGGGGTGAGGCAACTGTGGTAACCACTATGCTATGGAAACAGCCCTACAAAATCCATGGGGAGACACAGAGCAATGGGACTTCTGAAAGGGAGAGATAAGTTTTAAAATTGTGGAAGCGAAAAATAGACATAGGAAAAAATGTACTTAAAAGAGAAGAGCAATTGAATGATAGTGGACTTCATACCTGAAGCTGAGGTTAGGAAAAAGTCGTACACTTTCAAAATAAATAATCATGAAAAGAGAAGAGGGAACTATTTAGGGGGAAGGAAGGGATTAATAACAAGAAGTAGGTATGGGAAATAGGGGACAGCAGCAGGGGTGTAAATAAAAGCAAATTATGATATATATATACACACATATATATGTATATATATGGAAATGTTATAGTGATGCCCATTTCTTTGTGTGGTAAACAAAATTAATAAAAATAACTATAAAGGGCACTAGAATATTCTCAAAAGAAAAACTAATAAAGCTAAAGAAAGAAAATAAGACAAATCCAAAATTATTTGATTGAGAACTCCAAAAATCCAGTCTTCACAATTGAAGAAACTACAAGAATAAAATATGGTAAAACTCCAAAATCTGAAAATACCATAACAGATTCTAACAGACATACACACAGAACATTACATGCAATACAAGAAAACAGAATGTTTGGGTTTTCATGGAACATTCTGCAAGATGGACCATCTTCTCCTGCACAAAAAAAAACCCCTGGATATAAAATAGCTGAAATCATATGGTACATTCACTGGCTATCACGAATACCAAAAGAAAAGAAGAAAAATCTCAGAACGCTTGGAAAGTAAACAGCATGTTTCCGAATAATCCATGGCTCGAAATGCAATCAGAGCATAATGAAAGATGTGGGCCGCAGGAAATGCAGGGCACTAAAGGCTGGCATGAGAAGAAAATGCCTCAAATCAATAGTCTAAGATCATCTGCTAAGAAACTAGCGAGAAGAAAATAAACACAGTATCACCAGGAGAAAAGAACCAACAGTGGATAACAATGAAACTGAAAACAGGGAAGTTTTACAGAATAATCAATGAAACAAAAGCTGGTTCTTTAGAGAAATATCAATAAAATTCACACTAGAAAGACACAGACCACCAACATCAGAAATGAAACAAGAATATAGCTCCAATATGGAAAGACAATAAGGGAGGGCCACAAACAACTTTATGCTCATGAATTGGACAATGCAGAAAAAGAATGGACCTGTTCCTTTAAAACCACACACTGCTGAAGCTTATTAAAGATGAATCAGACAGTCAGACTGATACTGGATCTATTAAATACGTTTATTTTTAATTTAGAGGATTCTACAAGACATTTATCTGGGCACAGAAGTTTTCATTAAAAAGTAGTTAAAGAATTAGTATCAACTCTAGAATTTCTTTTAGAAAATAGGAATAAGAATGACTCCTGGAGCATTTTATAAGCTGTAAGGTTGGAAGTGATTCGTTAAATGTTATTCTGATATCAAAACTTAAAAGCAAAAACAAAATCAGCATGCATACATACAAAAAGTACATAAAATACTAAAATGTACAAACATATCTATCATTGTACCATAGCTAACGAGGATCAAAGTATAAGAGCCAGAGGTCGTAGATGACAATAAGGACCCAGCAGGGCAGCTGTACACATGAGCTTGCGGAGGTTGGGACAGCATGCATGAGACCGGTGCAAGCCCAAGCCAGTCCAAATGCCAACATGGAGAGAGGAGGTGGGCATTAAGTCACACCCTCAGTCTGGCTGCTAGGAGAGGGACAGTAAGTTTTCTTTGAGAGGGTAGCTGAAGAGGAAGTTCACATATTCAATAATTTATGGTCAGGGCCAATCAGACTTGATGGGTGTAAAAAAAAAAAAAAGAAAGGACAACCCAGAGTTGGATGAGTAGGATCTGGATGGGCCTGTGGGGAGCTGGAGGAGAGCATGGATGAATATAATCAAAGCACATTGTATCAAGTTCTCAAAGACCTAAGGTCAAAATTCATACCACAATAAGATCGCTTTCTATCTTTAAGAAGGGTAGTAAAAATATGTCACATTGTCACAACCAAGCAAGAAAATATGGACAGTCTAGGTAACTCCTACACTACTGATAGATACACAGAATGCCATAGACACTCTGGGAAAGTATTCGGCACCTAAAAGTAATAAATATACAAACGTTATACTGACAAGCGCCGATGTGCCTGGGAAGATAGCTCAGAGGTTAAGAGCACTGCCTGCTCTTCCAAAGGTCCTGAGTTCAATTCCCAGCAACCACATGGTGGCTCACAACTTATCTGTAATGAAATCTGGTGCCCTCCTGAGGAAGAGACCTGGTCAGGTGTCCTCATCAACTTAGACCATGAAAGCCAATATGGACAAGTTCAGTAGAACTGCCATATATGGGCTGCCCATGCATGCTTCAGCAGTGACAGGAAATAAATTTCATTTCATTTTCAAGTAAGACTTTGGTTCACAAAAACATGTATACACAAATGTTCATATCAACAGTCTCAAACCTTTAAGTGACCTAGATGTCAATCAATACTTCCATGCTTAAACAAACTACATTATACAAAATAGCATGGAATACTACTCAGGAATGAGAGAGAGAGAGAGAGAGAGAGAGAGAGAGAGAGAGAGAGAGACAGAGAGAGAGAGAGAGAGGAGAGACAGAGAGAGACAGAGAGAGAGACAGAGAGAGAGAGAGAGAGAGACAGAGAGAGAGACAGAGAGAGAGAGAGAGAGATCAAGCCATTGGGTGGAACTGGAGGAATTACGCTTAATGAAAAGAAAGGCCAATTATTAGAGGACATATGTGGGCCATGTCTGCATCTATGTTCTTAAAATATTGTGAATATGGAAATGAAGAAGAGATTAATTAATGTCCCAAGTTAAGGAAAGAAGGAGAGATGTGCTCATAAAAGGGCACCAAGAGAAACCCTTGTGGAGACAGAACTATTTTGTATGTTTTTCTTTATTATTTTTAATATTTACTTTTATTTTTTATGTGTGTATCTCTATGTGTGAGTGCCTGTACATGTGTACAGGTATCCATAGAGACCAGAAGAGGGCTCCGGAGCCCCTGGAGCTGGAGTTCTAGGCAGTTCTGATGTGCGGTCCAAACTCTAGTCCTGTGGAATAGCAGCAAGTACTCTTAGCCACGGAGCCTTCTCTCCAGCCCCCTATTCTGTATCATGACGGCACCAATGACAATATTCTAGCTTTGTTTGACACTATAGTAACGCAAGGGTCTGTCATCGCAGGAATGGTACAAAGGGCACACAGGATGCCTCATTTAATATGCAAGTTTATATAAGCTCTAGAGTTTGCTTGAATCTTTATCATGACGCACACATTACAATGTGTGTGACCAGTAAAGAACTACCTAATCTCTAGGTTCCTGTCTGCTATAAAACAGCACCCCAAATAGAATCTATCTCACAAGATAACTGTGGATATTAAATGGTATGATGTTCCTAAAGAATTGTCATCTTGCTAAATATACAGAATTGCACAATAAATTATAGCTACTAGTAGTAATAGTAATGACTATATAACAGTATTGCAGAGCCTGTAGACGCTTCAACTTCCTGAGCTAAATATGAAAAAATCCTGCCCTGTTCCCTCAACTGATTCGTAAAATACTAGTTTCAAGCTACCCATGCAATTATGCCTATGAAGTGATAATCCAAAACACAAAATTTCAAATAAGCAAGCTTACTTTACAGTCATGGTAACTGGCAGAGAAGCCACACTGATTAAGCCAGTGTCGTTATGCCAAGGTGATGCTGGTGGTTTCAGATACAGGTTGAATCCACTTGTAATTGTAGTAGTGGTGTTGGTGGTAACAGTGGTAGTGGTTGTCGTTGAGGTTGTGACTAGAAAATAAAATAGTGTTGGTAAGAATTTACAGTATTAGTAAGAAATGAGAAGCTCATGTCAGTTAAGCCTCAGTCATTCAAGACATTTTTTAAAATGAAATATGGGGAGTCATTTGTTAATAAGAACTTGAAATCAAAAACATAGATTTCAACTCAACTCTGTTGCAATATGAAGTGATATAGTGCACAGCAGGCATCTAAATTAACCTTTATGCTGAAAATTAAAACTCCTGGAGAGATTCATTAAAATATAAAACATAACTTAACCAGCTCTATAACCATTAAGGGGATTTAATCAATTCTCAAAACTCTTCCCATAAATATTGAAAATGCCAGACCCAGATGGCCTCACTGGTAAGTTCTATTTAAGTTTCAAAGAAAAACCCCACAATTTTGCAATATACACAAAATTTCTGTACATATTTTGGATAAAAACACAACTATTTGCAAAGTAATTCTCCCAAATTAATTTGCCAAATCATAGGGTTAAATCATCAGACTAAATCAAGGATATATTCTAAATCTTAGTGTATATTGTAAAAGTGACCCACCAAAGTGGTTTTGGAAAAAATTAAACCACTGTGTTTTTGTCAATAGGGAAAAGTGCCTACTTCTCTACGTCTTAGCTAAGACTGGACATGCGTATCTGTCAACCTGGTTAGTAAAAGCTTCTCCAAGTTTTATTTACATAGCAGAGATTTTGGGTTGTTTTACCCCTTCTAGAATGCCTTTTTATAGAGTAAAACTAAACAGACTTCACAGCCTAAGTGCTTTGTTTCCGACTTTTGGCTGTGGATCAGATGTAAGCTCCCAGCCTCTGCTCCAGTGCTGTGCCGGCCTGCAGCCATTTTCCCTATCATGATGGCCATAGATTCTAACCTTCTGAAACTCTAAGCAAACCCCAAGACATTCTTTTATCTATAAGTTGCCTTGGGCATAGTGTCTTACCACAGCAATAGAAAAACAACTAAGATATTAATCATAATAATTTTTAAAAACCTCACAGCTAAAGTTATGACAATAAACCTTAAGCAAAGCAACTACTGATATCAACCGTCATCGATGGAATCAAACATCGTGATTATTTTTAAGATGCAGAAAATCCATAGCTTCTATTGGCAAACTGAGTCAAGCAGGCTCATGAAAACATCAATTTCTTTAAAATGAATAAAACTTACTTGAGAGTTCCTGGGAAGCCATACAGGCAGGAACATTTGACATTGTAGGAAACATGGTACTTGAATTGTCAGTGGTGGCCACAGTAGTAGATGATAGAAGCAACCTAAAAATCAGAGCAGCAAGGAAAATACAGTGACTAAAAAAATAACTCTCCACAAGTAGAGCGCCAGTGCAAGATTCATTTGCATTGGGGAAATATGAGCAAAGAATGGAGACGCACACAACTACAAATAAAAGGTCTTTGGTTAAAAAAGATAGTAGCAGAAGTTGTATTTTAAAAATGCTCATCAGTACTGCCTGCTAACAGCCTTCTAGCGACCTCACTGAAACAGTAAACAGATAAGAAACATCCCCTCCCTGGAAGTGCAGCATAAGAACTCCTGTGAAACTGTTTGAAACCGGTGAAAGTGGTTTTTAAAAAATGTAAACTGCTGGAAATTATCCTAAGGGGATACAGTGACTGAAGAAAGCTTTCTTCAAGAACATCTGTTAAAAGTCAGTGGTCTAACAGTGATGGGCTACATATGGCATATGAGCCATAACTCACTGCATTCCTCCCACCCCCTTGCTTGCCTTTGTACAAATAACACTCCAGATAACAGTGGCTTAGTAGATGGGGTGCTCTCTGGCTCTGGATCTGAATCAAGGGAGACGTGGCTTCCATGAGAAAGCAAGCAGCCAGCATTCTCATCATCTCCAACACGGATGTGAAGGGCAAAATTCCTGGTGAGTACAGCCAAATCTTCTGGGACTTGTTTCTTTGAGCCAGTTCCCATTCATAGGATAGAAACTTCATGCCAGAAGGCGGAGAATAGTAGGGATTCAACCACCCCACTCTGATCCTGTTGCCTAAGCTCATTCGCAGCTCAAAGTTTCCCATGTGAAGAGGCAATCAAGGCCAGTGGCTCTTACCACTGCGCAGCACCCAAAGCCCTGGGTCAAAGAAAGATTCTGCCCCAGAGCTAACTGCTGGTCCTAAGAATAGAGAGCTCCAAAATTCCCCCACAAAGAAGTGACTTTTTGTAAAACAGAGCATGAAGTAGTTTCAGTTGAAGGAGTTCCTCTTAGAAGGTGAAGATTTGGTGGTAAGTGATTAAATGGTGAGAGCTTTATGCTAACAAGAAGTTAGGCTCTTGGCGCTCTAGTCTACCAGAATTAACAAGGAGGAATTAAGCATTGTTGTATGCTATAGCACGATCAAATCTGGGAACGACCAAGCTAAATGAAAGAAATACGCACAAAGGCAATGTACTGCATGATTTCAATTGCATAAAATGTCCAGAATAGGCAAAGTCATAGACAGAAATGTATTAGTGGTTGCCAAGGGCTGCAGGGGTGGGAAGGGAGGTGGCTTAATGAAGGGTGACTGCTAACTGGTTACAAGGTTTCTTTTAGGGGTAATGAAAATGTTCTCAAGTTACATTCTGGTGGTGGTTGTATACTCTGTGGCTATATTAAAACCCACTGAATTGTACAATTTCAAAGAGTGAATTGCAAGATGTGAATTATATGTCAATTATACTGTTATTAAAAAACACATTATCATCTCAAGAGAAGAAAAAAGCTGCATTTGACAAAAGCGCAATGCCCTTTCACGATAAAAACACTCAACGAACTGGAAAGAGAAGGGAGCATCCTCAGCTCTTACTAGTGGTTTTTAATAACATGAAATAGCAAGGCTATTTATTCTGCCATATGTTGTAAATAGTCTCCTAACCCAGTTTGTCAATGGCTTCTAATTTCTTACTATTCTATAAGTAGTCAAACGTTTCCATCATTTCCCCCTTTTTATAGTCTAATCTAGGTCTCAAAATTATATTTTAAAAGACGTAAGAAAAAGTGCTGAATCTAATTTTAAGAGAAAACTGTAAATTGTAACTACATTGAAAGAAATTTCACAAAACAGATGACAAGTACTTCAAAACTATTAACACTTTACTAAGTACCAAGAAAACATCAGGCAGCATCATGGATCCCTAATGAGAGTGAAGAGTGGTATGGTTCCTATGGGAAATGGATGGTCAAAGTTTTAAATGTTACAAATGCATCTATCATTTGAGATAGAAATATTCTTCAGGAAACATATCCATAAAGAATGCAAATACAGCCACAAAATACATGTGTGCGTAAGTCAAAGAACTATATACCTAGAAGTGACTAACTGTACACTTAAAATGGTAAAGTTTTTTAATGTGCATTTTACCGCAATAAATATGTAAGATGTTCTTGTGTACTTGTGAAATGCCACATAAAATGATACCCAGGGCTAGAGAGATGGTGAAGCAGGTAAAAATGCTTGCCACCAAGCCTAAAGTTTCATACCCAGGATTCACACGGTGGGGTGGGTACTTCATGGAAGGACTAAATGGATTCCTGTTGTTCTCAAACCTTCACACATGTTCTATGGCACACACATACACACAAATACATAAATGTAATAAAGATCATATCCACTACATTACTGTTTGCATCACCAAAATGAGGAAACTAATACAACAATTACCAAGGGAGTGGATATACAAATTATAATACATCCGGAACATGGAATACTATGATGATATTAAAAAGATGCTGAAGAGCCTCTCAATGATGTGAAATGAAATCAGGTTTAAAAGGTTTCAAACAAGTATAGTATAAAATTTACAAGGGGAAAAAGCAGGGTACACACTAGGATATAGAACATATTCTCCACGTCTGAAAAACATGGGAGGTTGGAGCCTCCGGGATGGCTCAGTACCGCAAGGTGATGGGTGATGCAAGCCTGACAATTTGAGTTCTGTCCCTGGAACCCACTTAAAGGCAGAAGGAGAGAAACTCAAGAAAAGTTGTCCTCTGAACTCTCCCTGCAATCCATGGCGTATGTGCCACCCCCCATAGTAACGATAATAATCATAACTTTTAAAGGTGAAAGGCTAAGAACACAACAGCAGTGCTAAGCTGGGAATGGAGAATGCAGAGGGGATGCAGCGCAGAGGGGGTGTACTACATCTATTTGTAGTATTTATAGTTTTATTTTGAAACCATTTGCCTATATTATTTAAGGATTAGACATAAATACATGTTCTTGTAGCCAGTGTGGGAAACATTACTTACATAGTTTCATATTCACCTATGCCCTTAAAATATTTATGGACTCTATTTTCTACCTTTAATTCATACAATATTTCTTATGATTAATATTTTAAGCAAACAACAGTTAGCCAGCTATTACAATTCATTTATTCATTATTTTGCCCTCTCCCCCACGGAACTGAAATACCACCATCATACACACAGGCTTGTTTCTGTGTCTTAAAATATTTCACTGATTTTTTTTCTTCCTGTGCCTGCTACATAATAGAATCTCAATTATTACAGCCCTAGAATTATTTAAGTCTACATTACATAACATTTTAAACTTACAGGAAGAGCATCAACTCATGCATTTTGATGTATTTTCCCGAAACCAATCCATCATTACTTGCTTAACACAACATCAAGAACGGAAGGTCTCCTGCATTTATTCCTACACTTGAATTTTAGAAAATTTCAAGTCCTTTGCTCCTTTCCTTCTTCCCCAAAACAACTATGGCTTCACCAGAATTGCATTGGATGGATAGATTAACTTGGAGGTAAATATCACTTTGATATTACCGAGTCTGGTCATTCAGTGATGCTGCTCATTACTCAGTGTATCTTCCATATATCTCAGTAAAACTGTTGCTTTCCCCATCTAAGTCATGCATATTTTCCAAAGCTTATTCCTGGGCATTTAATAATTTTGGCTGAAGTTGTTAATGGGCCTTTTCTTGGTTGTATTTCCCAACAACTATTGCCTAAACATAGTGAAGGTATTGATTTTTATATTATTTATTTTGTAAATGGCCGTATCACTGAAACTTCTTCACTAGCTCTAATTAAATTTCTACTTGATTTATGCCCGTATTTTAAAAATCCTGATCATTTATCTCAGATACTGGCATAATTTCAGAACCTGTCCTTAAATCACACACCCAAAGATAACTAAGGAAGCAAATATCATTTAACATGGCTCACTTTTAAGTTAAATGAATCTTACTCCAACACAGAAAAGGGTTTAAGACACAAAACCTTCTTTTCCTCATTAGAACTAGAGCAGGATTTAACACGGCACTATTGACAATTTGGGTCTGATTATATGTGGTTAAGGAAGACTGTCCTGCACAACATAGGACATTTATTGAGCGCTACCTGACATGTGCCACTCCCGTGTATATACTCAAAGGACTTTAGATCCTCCTGCAGTCTTATCTTCACGCCATGTTCACTGATGCTCTAGTCACGAGCTAGGAAACCGAATTAATTTGGATATCCATCAACTGATAAACAGAGAGGGAAAATGCAGTACACACAATGGAATATGACTTAGATATGAAAAGGGAAAGCATGGAATTTGCAGAGAAATGGATAGCACTGGAAAAAATATATGGAGTGAGATCACCCAGGCCCAGAAGTGGCAAATGCTGCGTGTTCTCTTTCATATGTGCGTCAGAGTTCTGGACTGCTTTGCATTTTAAACTTTAAGTACAAGTTGAACCCAGGAAATTAGAAAGTGGCCAATAGGAAGGGATACAGTAATGGAGTGGGGAGTTGAACGCAGGAAATTAGAAAGTGGCCAATAGGAAGGGATACAGTAATGGAGTGGGGAGTTGAACCCAGGAAATTAGAAAGTGGCCAATAGGAAGGGATACAGTAATGGAGTGGGGAAAGTAAAATACAGGTAAAATCCAAGTAGAGAGAGGACACTGAGAGTGGAAAGGGTTCAAGCAGGGAAGGTGGAGGGAACGTGGGGAAAACCAGGGGGCAAGAGGCAGGTTAACCAAAATGAAGGGTGTATGAGAAAGCCATATGGAAACCTACTACTACCATGCATTCCAATTAAAAATCCAAAAAAAATGTAATAGGGATAGTAGAATTCATGTAATATGTGAGAAAATGTGGTAAAACGTACGATTAGAGGTTTAAGAATTAATGGGATTTAGGGGTGGGGGAGATGAAGGGGGTAGGGAGTTGATAAAACTAAGAAGCCTTATGAAAATCCACCACCATTGCCTAGCTAATTATAAAATAGAATTTTTCTGAAAA